CTAATAAAATTTGGGATAATTTTTTAGCCATTTATTGGAAAAACCTATAGCCTTGGGTATTTCTTAAATTTTTGGAAATTTCTTAAAATGGCTGTAACACAAAAAATTAAAGCTCAAATTTTCTATATAGCATAAGGAGATCAATATGTATCAGAAAATGTAATAAAAATTGGGGGAATTTTAATCATTAAATGTAATAAAAATTGGGGGAAGATAATCATTAATGATAATAATGATAATTAATGATAATTAATGATAATCAATGGTGTGTGTGTATAGTGTATGAATAATGAATTCCTATTCCTAATATGGTAACAATTAAACTAATTGACTGAGCACAAGATGTCGTTAGAGGGCAAGTGTTGGGCAGCATTTTACAGAAGAGACCATAAAGAAGCAGTTCAATTACTTTCATTAGTGAAGGAACCAAATAAAGTTAAAGGAATATACATAGTGTGGAATAAAGGAAGAAATATAGTATGGGATGATACTAGTTTACTTCATCTGTCTTCATGGTATGGCTGGTTAGATGTTACAAAAGATCTCATCACTAAATATCACTGTGACCCACAGGAAAGAGATAGTGGAGGTCAGACTTGTCTTCATTGGGCTGCACGAGGTAATCATGTTGATGTGATGAGATATCTCATTGATGAATGTCACTGTGATCCAATGGATACTGATTCATTTGGGCATACTGTTCTTCACAAAGCAACTGCTAATGATTCACTAGATGCCATGAAGTACTTAATCAATCGCCATCACTGTGATCCATTGGCTACTGACAATGAGGGTGAGACTGTTCTTCAACATGCAGCTAAAGGATCACAATCACTTGATGTAATCAAATATCTAATCAATGAGTGTAACTGTGATCCAATGACTGTTGACTGGAGGGGGTGGACACCACTTCACAATGCTGCTTATTTGGGTCATTCTGCAGTTGTTGAATGTTTACTATCAACTGGTAAATGTGATCCATTGGCTAAAGACAATGAGGGGAGAACACCATTACAACTAGCTAAAGAGACAAAGAAGATTGGCTTGACTAATACTCTTCCTATTTTTAAGAAGTTTGGTGATATAAAATCATCTCATCCAATTCATTCTTATGTTAACGTCCTCCTTGTGGGTAATCCTGGAGCTGGTAAAAGTACTCTTAGTCATGTCATCAATGACACAGCTACTGCTTCTATTGTTCTTGGTTCCTTTAGAAATGTTGGAGGGGTAGTAGTGCCCTGTACTGCTGGTATCATTCCTTATAAACTACAGCACAGGACACTGGGTAACATCATTCTTCATGATTTTGCTGGTCATTCAGAATACTACTCAAGTCACAGTGCTGTCATTGAGAATCTCTTACAAGGTTCTGGTGGTGTGTTCCTGATAGTAGTCAATATATTGGACAAGGAACCAGTCAAACAGCTTCATCAGTGGCTAACAGTTGTCACAAATGAAGCACAGAAAGCTCTTAATCAATGCCATGTTATTGTAATAGTCAGTCATGTGGATGAGATATTTACTAATCCTTTTGAAAGGAGAAGAAAAAAGGAAGAAATACAGGAAATTATTGTAAGGGAAAGGTGTGATAGTGTCTTCTTAGATTGTCGTAAGCTTGGTGGGAGTGGTGTGGATTCCTTCTTCAATAAGTTGTCTAGTGCCTGTGAGTCCATTCGTAGTACAAGTGGAAGGAATTTGAGTCTTTATTGTCACATGATGTATGGTCTACTGGAGGAAAGGAAAGAGAATATACTGACCCTCTCTGATGTAATGTCTGTCGGTGAGGACAATGATGATTACTTTATACCAGATAATAGAGAAGACGTCTTGGATGTTCTTGATTCATTGCACTCAACTGGTTTGATCAGTGTTCTTAAAAGTAAACACATGGTTTGGGTTGTTGTGAATAAGGGTATACTGCTAACTGAGGTGAATGGGATTCTCTTTGCTCCAGAAACATTCAAAGAACATGTTGACATTGCTAGCAATACTGGTATTGTTACTGTGTCTGGTCTGACTAGACTCTTCCCTAAATATGATCCTCACATGTTGATCTGTTTCCTCAACAACATGGAACTCTGTCAACAAATCAATCCATCTTTCCTAAGAATGACAAACCTCCATCAGTTAGCAGTGGAAGAGGAGGAGGAGGGAGGGACAGGAAGAAGAGGAGAAAGGTTATTGTTCTTTCCATGTCTTTTGTCTACTGATAGACCTGATGAAATGACTAGTCAAGTGTACCAGTTTGGTTGGTGTCTACAGTGTACTAGTAAACATCATTTCTTTCCTCCTCGATACTTCCACATCCTCTCATTACGTCTTGCTTACAAAATGGCTCTACCTCAAGAACATGACAAGTTAAATCGTTACTGTACATTTTGGAAGAATGGTCTTTTTTGGTCTAATGGTCATGGTGTAGGATCACTGGTAGAGATTGTGGATGAGAGCCAGTGTGTACTAGTAATGGTGTCCTGTGAGAAAGGTTACAGTGACAATATGGTGTCTCTAAGAGGAGATGTGATAGGAGAGGTAATGAGTGTTTATAAAGAATCCTGTCCCAGTCTAGAGGTAAAAGAGTTAGTTATTGATCCTAAAGAACTAGCCTATCCCGTGAATACACCAAAAGAAAGGACAGTGTATAGTGTAAAAGCTGTACTCTCAGCAGTAGTTGAACAACGACCATTTCTTGTTACCACTGGTACAAGACGTACAGAATTGAAGGAGATCTTACCTGATGAATCATTATCAGATATTAGTAACCTGTCACTATTAGGAGGACGTGATATTAAGGTAAGGATTAACACACACAAACTGTTTGATACAAATACAATTAGTCATTATTTTATTATCAAATAAAGTTGTCACTGTATATGGCTCTTTTTACATTTATATTTACCTCAATAACACTGTAGGAAGTGATTGAAATAACTAAAGAATATAACACATCTACAACTAAAATAAAGCTAGGTATGATACTTTCACAATGCAACTTGTAAATTTAGATAATATCAAGAGTCCATTATATTTGATATTATTAATCATTATTTTTAATTTTTATAGATATTAAAGCTCTTGATATTGTCATTGAAGAGCTAACGATACTCAATCACTTACCTTGCCATACATGGCATGACCTTGGTCTTCAGCTAGGACTCTATCAGCCTACACTAGAAGACATCAATAAAGATAATAATGGAGACTCTAAGAAGTGCTTCAGACAGTGTATGTCTGCCTGGTTAAGGGGAAAAGATAAAGTGAGAGAGAAAGGAGGTCCCAGTTGGTCATCATTAGCTACAGCACTGGATAAAGAAGGAAAACATTGTGTGCTA